CAATACACACCTGCACAGTCTGTAGGGTGAGCACCCCAGACAACACTGTCTTCCCCAATACACACCTGCACAGTCTGTAGGGTGAACACCCCACAGACAGTGCTTTCCTGTAGGCAGTTCTTACCCTGTAAATATGTGTAGCTTAAGTATCCCCCTCCCCCCCCACACACAACAAAACAGATGGTTTATTTGAACTAGTAGATTTGAGAGACTGCAGAGATTTCAGTAATCCGTCTGCAGTCACACATTCAAGACACATTTTTTATGTGGTTTCTGTGGCCATGCATGTTTCTCTAAGTGCTAGCCAGGATAAAACAAAGTTCTGCCCTTGTGTGGATAAGGTGCATTCATATAGCCTAATAGAACGTTGTTATAGCTTATAGAGCTCAGAACTTTGGGTGTTGTAAGAAAGTCCCCACTGCGATCTTACGTGGGTGAGGCTAAACTTCATAAGGTGCTAGTGCATGCAGTGCCGGCGATACAGTTGTCTTCCCCTCCAGCTCCCAGCTCCACAGTTAAGCTCTTAGGAGAGTTAACGTGGTTAAAAAATCGTGGGGTGCTCGCCACGTGTAAGGGTGGAGCCAGGTGTTTGACCCGCACACTCATATATTTAATCCACACACAAATTGCGTAATTGGTGCAGGTATCCAGAGTAAGAAGCGCGAGGACCCGAGTCTGGGCAGTCTAGCTGTAAAGTCTAGCCTGTCTGTCTGTGAGTTCACTGCCCTCGGGCTAATGAAATGTCGGGGAAACGACACAGTCGGGGTCTGCTGTACAGACGCAGTGTTTTTAAGCCTGTACTTGAGTAAGATGGGTGGTGTAGACGGGAAGGGATCTTGATAAGACGTGATTGTTAGACTGAAGTTAATCACCTGTTGAGTCTTTACAAATAGAAGTTCGTAACTACATGAAGCTTCTCATTGAGAGGGGGAATCTGACAGTGTCATGATCATGTTGAACCTTGAGAACGGTGATGAAATTGAACGGCTTCTGATTTGTTTTCGACAGAGGCAAGGTGAAATTAAGTTTCATTAGGTTAATAAGAAAGACATACCTGGACCTATAAAGGTATATTTTGTCGGATGTGTGTGTGTGTGCGTGAACTAGTGTCATGTGCAGGTGCATACGTGTGCAGACACGTGGGCACATCCGGTGTACTGTCGATCCCCACTTGACCATTTTAAATAGAGGTCTCCCTGAACCTACAGCTCACCATTTGGCTAGATTGGCTGATCCACAAGTTGTGGGGATCGCCCTGTTTCTGTCCCAACAGCTCAAGGGTTATAACACGTGTGCCATGCCTGGCCATTAGATAGGTACCAAATCCAGATCCTCTTGTGTAGCAGGCACTGTAAGTGCTGAACCGTCTCTCCAGCCCTAAAAAACACACTTTAAAATCTTAAAAACGAACTCTTTATTTATGTAGTAGAGCATTTTGGATAATGAATAAACAAAGGTACTTGCCAAGGGAAGTCCTTACTGTCTTCTCCGTTACAGGAGACTAGGAGACCCAGAACTGGGTTGAAACATAGCTCTCAGGCAGTCTGCTCCGTGTTGGTCTCTCTGGCCTGTAAAATGAGCATCATAGTGGAAGCTAAAGCTGACTGTCCAGGTTTTGTGGGAATTCAGATTCTGTGCTCAATGAGCAAATGCCTTCTGTTTGCTGTTAAGGACGTAAAATACTCTATTTTATGTGCTGTTCCTCTAGGAGTTTCTTTTTTGTAAGATACTTTTTCATATGCCAGTCACAAGTAGGAATTTAAAAGCATTTGGCAGTCATTGTCTAGCACAGCAAGTTCAGAGTTTTAACAGGTCACATGTATTTCTTTCCTCCGTAAAGTCTGGTTCTTCTCTTTTGTACACTTTCCCACTTAGACACAAATGCCAGACCCCAAGACCTTCAAGCAGCACTTTGAGAGCAAACACCCTAAGACTCCACTTCCTCCAGAATTGGCTGATGTTCAGGCGTAAAGTTTACAGGTAACTGCTGATCTCCCTCCTGGTGTGTCAGTTTTGGTTTAGAATTCTAGGAGCCAAACTACATCTCCTCAGGTATGGAATGGATTTCTCCCTCTAGCAGAGACATGTGCCTTTACTCTTAGTGTTTAACTTTTGTACCAGAGCTTAAAAATCGTATTTAGTATAAATGGTAAGGTATTCTAGTAAAACACTTTACGATTGGTAAAAGCCCTTTTCCCTGGACCCTTTCTTTTTCATGCCTTTGAAACACTCAAGTTTTTACAGCTCTAGCCAGAGACAGAGGGGATGAGTGATTCTGCCAACTTTGAGCCAGGAATGAAAGACTTGTCAGCTGTAAAGAAAGAGTCATTTCAAAGGCACAAGGGTCTTCTCCCAGAAGTTCAGAACAATTTACTGAGTACGTTTTTATGTTTCTTTTACTTATTTATAGTGCTAGGCAGAGCATCTCTGTGTTAAATTATAGAGTAAAAAACTCTGTAGAAAGTCCTTTAAAGTTACCAGTTTACACTTTATGTGTGGTTGGGTTTCTTGCCCTCCGAGGTAGTGGTACATATGCATGTGGTTGAGAGTTATTTCTGTCTTTACTATCCAGTTGACAAATCCACCACTCTGACATCTTGATAGTTTTTCCTTTTAGATACTTGAAATGCTTGCCATCGTTATATTTACGGAAGCTTTTCCTTTTGACTCACAGGTGAATTCATGACACCGTTGACTCTTCTACTGTCTCAGACCTTAGGTAACAAACCTGCAGCTGCTTTTTTAAACAAACTGTTGATCAGCAAAATAAAGGGGCTACAGAAACACTCGTGTTTATGCTGTTCCCTCTGGGCTTCATGCAAAGACAATTCTGTGTAAATGTACAGTTGACTCGGATTTGGAAATCTGGAAAATCAGTCCATTCTTGTTATAAAATTTTTTTACAATTGTAATTATATTGATGTTCATATTGTGTAAAATAACTCATTTAATAAAGTAGTGCTTTGATTTTACAACATCACAAGATAAATGGTTCTAGAAATTCTGTTCTAACTCCTTATTATTTGCCTTATTATAAAAATGAATTGATGAGCTAGTGTTGCAAGGCAGTCCTCTCCCTTCCGCAGCTCAGTGGCAGCTTTGTTAAACTAGAGCAGCCGCATTCATGACACTGTGCACAGTTAAAGAGTGGCTGACTGCTGCTGCTGCTGCTTCAGGGTGTTTGCGGTTCCATGTCACCCCACTTCTGATCACTTCCTGTTGGAAGGTGGCTCCACTTGCCAGCTAGGAGTGCATTGTGGGTGTAACAGATTCAATTCATAAAATTGGTCGGATCGCCAGTGAGCCCTTCTGAATAATTGTGTCCCGAAGTATATGCCAGAATGAAATGGCCTATTTGGACAAAGTATGATGGAACAAGCATGAACTGTTAAGGACTTACGTCTTATAATGGGTATTTTGCAAATTGTTACAATTCTTTAATTTGAGTATGAACCATAATTTTTGAGAGAGATTTTAAAAGTTATTTAGCTAATTTTATGAATGGATTTTTGCATTTAACAGAAAGACTGGAATGATTTGTGCCAGGTTAATTCCCAGAACCTTCTTTGTCTTTTAAGTAAAACATAATTTTAGGAACTTAGCACTGGCTCCTGAGGTCAGACTGTCTGGTTTGACTTCTACCTGAAGCAGCAAAATGTAAAAATGGGCCAGTGTTCACATTTGTTTAGGCTGCTTAAGGAAGACTAGCTCTGGTGTTCTAGTTTTCTCCTGTTGGCTGGTGTTCATGAAAACCTGCTGTAATAATTCAGTTTAAACCTGATGTAATCGGAAGGACATTAAGATAAGTGCTGACAGCTGCTGAGAGCTGTGTGACCTGTGGCTGACAGATGAATCCTCTCATGCTGCTGTAGCCATTGCATTTGGTGGCAGCGTAGCACTCTGGCCACCTGGCTTGTGGCACTGAGTTTGAAGGAAGGTATCTCTAGGAAGAGCCTCAGTGCCGTCCCCAGCCTCACTAAGTCCAGTCATTGTGTTACTCAGTTAATTTCCTGCCTTTCAGACTCGGTGTCCATTGTGTCCTAAAGTATTGCTGACTAGAGTTAGAGTTTTCCCTGATTCCTGTAGCTCTCACAGAAATGCAGTTAAGTGACAGGTTTAGTGCTTTCTACAGATGGACGTTTCTTTTCAGTAACAAACTGAATATTCAGAGCCTGTTGGCAAGTTTCAGTTTAATTCTTTCCATTTGTTTCAATGTCTGTAATTCAGAATAAAACCTTTTCGATCTTGTATTTAACTGTTTGTAAGCAGCTAACGGCACCATATTTCACTCTGTATCTCAGTGATAGGGAATGGTTGATGGATCTTCATTCTTAGCATGGGGATTGTCAGCATGGTCCTCTTTTGTGTTTCAGTTAAATTTGCTGTAAGGAGAAAATGACAACTTAAACCTTTTTGTAACTTAATTTGGAGATTCTTTAACAGATAGCTTTGTTTAAAAACCATTACGGTGTCTTCAAAGGTGATATAAAGTAGCGAGAAGGAATTGATCTGTTTGTATGCTGTATTTATGTTAGCTGTCAAAAGGAATGGGGTTCACTTTACATGTGTTTCCGCCCTCATCCTCATGTTAGCCGACACACTTGGGGACCTCCCGTGTGCTGTAATGTCTTATTAAAGAAGATGTTAAAGAAAACAAAACCAGTCTAATTTCTTGTACATTTTAAGAGGTTTTCATATTGCCTCTTTCCTGCCTTTCTGATTTTAGAATTTTCTCTTCAGTATAGTTTGGTAGTTCAGAGAATGGCAAGTAAATTCCTTCATTTTTCATTGTTTTCCCTGTATTTGACCATAAAATATTTCCTATGAATGAACAAAATGTTTGTCATTCTGAAATCTTGCTCTATGCAATATACAAGATACTAGAAGGAACGAGTTAACGTTAAAATGCTAAAACAACAAAACATACTTGGGCCAGTTACTGGACTAGGATGGTTCAGCCCTTATTGACACCAAGACTTGAGATAAGACTTGGTTTTTTTTGTTGTTGTTGTTGTTTTATCTTGTTTTGCTTTTTTGAGACAGAATTTGTCTTTGTAGCCCCTTGAACTCAGAGATCTGCCTGCCTCTGCCTTCCAAGTGCTGGGATTAAAGGCATGGGCCACCACAGTGATTTTGGGATTTATGTCACAAATATTTCATAGATATGACAGCATGATTCCAATTTGAGATACAGCCTAAAGTAATAGTTACTAAGTTACCCTCCAAAGCCGCAACCTTTGTTTTTCTTCATTATTTGCATATATAGTACGCTGCCTGTTTTAAATCATGGCTAATGTAGCATTGTTTTTTTTTTTTTTTTTTTTTTGAGACAGGATTTCTTTGTGGAACCCAAGCTGGCCTCCAACTCAGAGAGATCTGCCTGCCCCTGCCTCCCGCTTGCTGGGACTTTGCTTTTTCTATAATACATTGATCAAGCATTGTCTAAACTATAAAATACCGTTATTTAAACAACTTGAGTCTGAATGAATTCATCTGTCCTGGTTTCCTAGTCTGGGAGTTTTGTTTAGGGTGTATGGCCGTGGTCAGTCAACAGGCAGGGTTATATTTGCTGTCACTGTGCATAGTGAAGTAGTTAGACTAGCTTCATTTGATGTGTGACTTAGAAAGACGGGGTGAGCTGTCAGTGTAGAGGTATAATAAAGCTCTGCTCGACTGAAAGACTGTTTTATTAACAACATTCATTGTCCTTAGTTACAGTGTACATTTTTTTAAAAAGATAAGTGCAACATTTAAGTGCTGTTTTGATTAGCTGAGTTTCAGCTTCTGCAGTAGTTCCTTACCTTTTCTTTGTATAGTGTAGATCCAAGTTTGAAATGTTTCCTACAGAGGTAGACTTCAGTCACATGCTCTTTGTTTGTGGGTATAATCTTCACTGTTGATGATGTTAGTCATATACTTGTATTTTTTTTATATATATAAATTTGTATATTTGCAGCATCATTACATAGTTATTTCTGGGTTTTTTGTTTTTGTTTTTGAGATACTGTCTCATATAGTCCGGCCTGTTCTCTGACCCTCCTGCCTCCATCTTCAAGTGCTTGGATTACAGGTATGTACCACCATCCCTGGCTCTGCATCTCGATTTCTAATTGTTTTCGTCTTGTGGACTGCAAGTACCCTGCTTTTATTACTGCTTCCTCTAAGGTCTGGCCACTGAGAGGTGGTCTGCATGTTACCCTGGAGGTCTACGGAGATTATGTTTCTTCCCATCTGTTCAGTCACGTGTATCCATATGGGTTCTCGTGCCAGGACTATGACCTGTCTTGTTGAAATCATTTTAGCTTTGGCTGTCAGCGGCTTTCTGATTGACTCCAACATCCCATTCGATGCCCCATCTTGTTTTGGTTTTTGAGAATTTTCTTATTTGTAAGACTTTAAGAAGCCCCAGGCTTATTTTGTATATTCCTAGAATGAGCATTTCTCCACTGGTTCCTTTGGGAGAATAATTAGAAATCTAGATCTGTATGCTGGGTGTTGTTTTGGGGGAAAGGTTTTTTTTGTTTTTTGTTTTTTTAAAATTAGGAAATGGTGAACATTCTTGGGAGGAAGAATCCCCTTGTCCACATGTTTGCGAGACAAGTTTTCTGGCTGGCTCTTCTTCATATTCCTGCTGATGCCCCCACCCTGCCCTCTCTGAGGGGAGACTGAACCCAGGGCCTACACATGCTGGGCAGACCCTGAGCTGCTTCTCCAGCGCCAAACCTAAACTGCTGATGTACTTGGAGACTCCTGTGTTAGCTCGAAAGCAGCACAGGAAAGCTGCATTATGTAGAGAAGTGTACAAAGCCTCTGTTCTCTACAAGTTATAATTTAGTCTAGAGAAAGGACATATTTTAACTGATAAAAATTTAAGGTAGATATCAGTGCTTAGTGTGTTCTGAGTGGCTCCTCTGGGAGAGAGGAAGAGGTCAGTTGAAGAGGTCAGTCATGCCTAGAGGGACAGGAGTTGGCCAGGGCTTTGGGGAGGATGGGAACCAGTAGGGCAAGCTGGGTGGGGGTGGCTGGGTGAGCAAAGCATGCTGTGTCTGACGAGTGTGGGCTAGTCAGAGCTTCGGTTGATGAAGGGGAGCCTTTGAGCCCATGGTTGCGGGTGGGGAGCGGCCCTTACAACGGGGCCAGGGTGTGCACTGTGTGCACTGTGACGTTGTTTGACAGTGGGGACGTGATGTAGCCGCCAGGGAGATTCTGTCACTGGGGAAGTACTGCGTCCCCACCGTTGTATACCCTCTGTGCCTGTTACAGGCGGTGGTGGCGTACGTCTTTGATCCCAGCACTTGGGAGGCAGGCAGGTGGATCTGTGAGTTCGAGGCCAGCCTGGGCTCCACAGAAGGAATTTTGCTCTGCTTCGTGCACTGATGCTGCCGTTTCCCTCTGTACCGAGAGATCCCAGATGTGTGGATCTGTACATGGTGTTTGTCATCTATTTGATTAAAAAGAAACACATTTGAAAAACACTTTAATGTATATGTAGCTATGTAATCTATATATAGATTCAGCAAAACTGAATTTTGTTTTTCAAAATTTATCTTATGTACATTGGTATTTTACCTGCATGTACATCTGTGTGAGGTGTCAGATGTCAGATCTTGGAGTTACAGACAATTGTGAGCTGCCATGTGGGTGCTGGGAATTGAACCTGAGTCCTCTGAAAGAACAGTCAGTGCTCTTAACCACTGAGCCATCTCTGCAGCCCGCAAAACTGAATTTTTAAAGCAATGTAAAAACCAGACAATAGTCTTTCACACTTGGGCACACATGCACACATTTTATATGTTAACACGTGTTTATAGTCATTTCTATCATGGCACTTTGCTGTTTAGCATAGCAAATGAGTTTGCTTCATGTTATAAACTTGGCGTAAGGAGTTCTGTGGTTGGCGATCCACTAGATTTGTGGTAAGCATTTCCCTTTCTGGTAGAGTCTCAGGTTTTCTTTCATTTGTGCTTACGGCTTTATTTCCACATTCAGAATTGCATGTCATAAAACTGAGAGCTCTTACTGGGAAGCGGACGATGAGACGGGACACACAGAGCTTTCTTAAAGCAGCGAGTGAGGGAGCAGCGGCCCAGCGGGGCAGGTAACGTGCAGCAGGCTTTCTGGACAGCAGACTTTCTGGACAGATGCACGGCCTTTGAGTGCTCGTCACACCAAGGTGTTTAAATGTGGTGTAGTCCTTTGGTGTCTAGTGAAGCTTAGAACATTGTATTTTATTTGCTGGTCAGGTATAGTTTATGTCCATTTCTGAGTGCGCTGGTGCTGTGCACAGCAAGCTGGGAAGAGCTGCAAGGTGCCGGGAGATCAGATAACAAGGGTTGTGACCCCCACAACCTGCAAAAAGATGGCTGTGTCTGCAGCGCCTGCAGGGCGTGTTCTGGACTCCCTCCAGGGTTGTAGATAACATCTTATTGTAGTCATGTGGTGTAGACTCCTGCTGGCCTCCAAGGCGCACCCTTTTGCCTCAGCCTAAGTATTAGGCTTACAGGTCTTACCTGCCTGATGGCTAGAGTGTAAATTTAGTATTTACATGTATTTTATTCAAAATCAGTAAAAGTTGGTTTTTACTTGTTGATACCTTCCTGCTGGAAAGAGGAAAAAAGTAATAGTAACAAAGTAGCCTTTCCGGTTCCTAGGTCTCAATTCTGGTCTGCTTTTTATTAGAGCCTTTTATCTCTCTCTCTCTCTCTCTCTCTCTCTCTCTCTCTCTCTCTCTCTCTCTCTCTTTCTGTGTGTGTGTGTGTGATTTCCACAGTAACTACATAGGCCCTAAACTTTGCATTGAAAAGTGAGTCTTTAGTCACCTTTGAAGACGGAGAAACTGACATGTGTCAGGTCTGAACAAATAAAGGAAATGTGTGCACACATGTAGTAGTTCTGGCTGAGTAACTCCAGCTTCCTGCCGCCCATCTGCTGAAGCTGGTACATGGTGTGTATTCACACACACCCTGCCCGTTCCTGCTTGTGCTTCTTAGGATCGCACTGCTCTTCTCCACACAGCCCAGGCTCTTCTGGGGGGAATGTACCTGCTCTGTAAGGCTCTCTAAAAAGTACAGGTTAGGGACAGGGACACAGCAGGCCAGACGCTGCACTAAGAGCCCCCAGCGCTGAGAAGAGCCTGCAGCCATGTCGAGGGGGGCTGGTGTGCTGCCTCGGCCTTCTAATTCCCTTGTGGGGTTTGGTTAGGTTTGGTTTGGTTTCTCGAGACAGGGTTTCTCTGTGTAGTTTTGGTGCCTGCCCTGGATCTCACTCTGTAGACCAGGCTGGCTTCGAACTCACAGAGATCCCCCTGCCTCTGGCTCCTGAGTGCTGGGATTAAAGGCGTGCCCCCACCACCCTGTGATAAATACAACCTTTAAAGGAGAAAGAAACCTGAGGAGAGGCATGGTTCCCCAGGGCCTTTGTTGGTTACTGCTCAGGGCTGTGTGAGTTAGAGAATGTGGTGTGAAATTTTACCCCTGCCCAGGAAAGTAGTAACAGCAGGAAGCTATCCAGAAGAGTAAAGAGATGTAAGTTGTTGCTTTTTAAACAGAAAGTAGTGGAGGCTGTAGAATCAGTTGGCTCTTGGTATTTTTGCTATAAACCTTGATTTTTTTATGTGTAGTTTTACTTTTTGTATCTTTTCCTACCATGTTTTTCTTGTAAGGAGCAATTTTTCCTGGGACACAATTCCAGCCTGGTCCTGACTGACAGGCCTTCCTCCGTCCAGCACAGTGAGGACTTCCCGCCCCTTCTGTGACATTCATCCCACGCTCTCGCCAAGGTGGACTACTTTGCTCTCCCCTTTCCCATGAGCCCCTCTTTAGTCTGTTCAGTCCACTGGGGTCCCCTAGCCTGCATAGCCGCTCCAAGTAAACTGATCTCTCGTTGAGTGCATGGCTCTCGAGGCCCCCAGGAACGGAAGTGCTCTTACTTCTGGTGCCGAGTGCTGTGAGTGAGTGAGGGTGCAACTCTGTAGCATCCCTAAACTGCAGCAAATCCTCCTCATGCTTTTGAGGAGTCCCTTTGTAAGTGTTGCAAAGTTCAGTCCGCTTTTCTGGGGTCAATCGGAAGGAAGTATGGAGGGAAATTCTAGGTCAGAAGATTGTAGGCTGAAACACTGAAATAAAACCAGTAAGTACTTGTTAAATGAAATAAATGTAAATCCACTTAGGACTTAAGAAAATTGTATTTCATGAGCCCCAAATGTGGCAGCAATCTGTCTTGGCATCTTTCCTGGGGGAGCCAGTGTTAGTTTTTAGAGGCTCATTGCGATCAAGCATGACTTCTCTGTTTTAAAGGAGAATTGCAAGCATGGGTTAGTGAAATCATGTTACACAAACCTTTATTCTTCCTGTGGATGGCCAGCGAGCCTGTGGAATCCATGCTTACTTTTGGATGGCTCTGTTTTAAGTGAAGGACTGTTTGGCAGGATTTTGCACAGCAGAGGAAGAGTCTGGGAAGGTGAACCGAGCTGCTTACAAGGGAGGCCTTGGGACATTGTTACGTTTGTTCTGGGGCCTGATCCCAGCCGTGGTGGCCTTGCACCTGGCTCTCTTGAGTTTTAGCGTCGCCTGGTGTTGCCTGAGAGTGCAGACGGCGAGGCTTCGTACTTGTTTGAAAGGCAGGTAAACAGGCGCCTCCCTGGGCGTTTTGCTGGTCCCAGACAGTGCACAGTGCTGGAAGCCCCACGGGTAGAGTCCGCTCTCATTCACAGGGAGAACTATTCTGCTGACTTAGTCTGAATGAGAACCACTTCGTTCTTAGTGTCCTCCTCCTTCTGTGCTTATACTTTGAAATGGGAAGAATATTAAGTCAGATTAAGAATCCAGGTATCTTGCTCACACTTGGACTTAAGCTATGCTTTGTTCCTGTTTTATTCAGTTTATTTTTTGACAGTCACACCTGTATTTATGATGCATTCTGGTTGCTCTGACTCCCGTCCTTGTCAGCTTTCCCTACATGCCCCTTTCCCACACCCGTGACTCTGGTTTCACCACAGATTTTAACCAGGACTGTCAGTGTCCACCCTTGGGTGCGTAACTGAAAATAACGACTGGCCTTGCTTTAGCCAGCAGGCTCAGGGCTCCTCCAGCTCCTCCCTGACCCATGGTTGACAGGCCCCCTTTGCTGTGAAGTCACCCCTACAGTGGCCGCCCCGCACTGTGAAGGTAGGATGCTCTTCTCCTTATCTCCTGACTGTTACTCTCTTTTCCCTGAGCACTTGGGCCATTTATTCTCAGGGTCTTGTTTTGTTTTTAGAGACAGAGTTTCTCTGTGTAGCCCTGGCAGTCCCTTTGCAGACCACACTGGCCTCGAACTCACTCTGCCTCCTGAGTGCTGGGATTAAAGGCGTGAGCCACACCCCCTGGCTTACTCTAGCATCTTGAGCAACTGTGAGCCTGTGTGATTACTACAGTTCACGGACATGGCTGCAGGTGCTCTCGGGCAACAGAGGTGTGCACCTCAAGATACACTTCTGACTAGGTTTTTGAGAAAAAAAGCTTATCATCTGGCAAATGGTATCGTAATAATGTAAATATATCATACATAGGTGATACTGTTATCTAGGTCAGTTAACAATTAAGTTGAAAATTCCCATCAGCAAACACAAATTCTTTAAGGGCTGGAGAAAGGGCTCAGTGGTTAAAAGCACTGGCTGCTCCTACAGAGGACCTGGGTTCAGTTCCCAGCACTCCCGGGGTTGGTCACTACTGTTGAACTTCAGTTCCAGGGACACCAGGCACTTGTGTGCTGCACATACATACATGTCCCAGTGGGTCATCTTAGTGCCACTTAGTACACAGCATGCTTTGGGGACTGCCACTCTTTGTCCTAGAACTTGGGATCTGGTTTTCAATCTAAAGAGTGGTTAGCAACTCACCATCACATAGGTCTTTACGTACTCATAGGAGCAAATTAAATACGATAAGGGTTCATGTTGTGTATAAAACATGCTCAAACAGTGTCAAACTCCAAGGCACAGGATGTCCCTGAAAACGTACATTTGTAGAGGGACAAGGTGGCATTCTCTGAGCACTTAGCACGTAGTTTGGAATATGACACTAGAGCTTAAATTCAGGACTGAAGTGAGATTTGCATGAACATGCATAAAGATGAAATCTTAGAAACAGATGACGTCTTTAAGGCAATATGTTGTTAAAAGAACAAACAAGCCAAGATAACAATTTTGGAAAGGCCCTGTTTGGGGCCGAGGGGTAGAAAAGGAGCTGGAGGTGCTAGAAGAGCAGTCAGATGGACAGGGTCGAGTAGAGTCCTTCTGGGTTCTCAGACGAGAGCGAGGGGAGCAGGTTAACGTCCATGCTTGGTACCGGCACTCGAGACTCCTGGTCCACGCTTGGTACCGGCACTCGGGACTCCTGGTCCACGCTTGGTACCGGCACTCGGGACTCCTGGTCCACGCTTGGTACCGGCACTCGGGACTCCAGGCGTTCCTTTGAGGTCAGGGGATGGGTTTCAAGGAAAACCATGGGAGCTAGAGCAAGGCAGGGCGGATGGTAATCCCCTGGCTTCAGAAGCAAGTCATGGGACAGTGACCGTGGCTTCCCTCGGCGGCGGGCTGTATCCCTGACTGTAACCCGGCAGAAGTGTTGTGTCCCGCTCACTTTTTAAAGCGTGGTGAGCTTAGTTTGTATCTAAAATGTTGACTAAAAATTTTTAGAAATGGTCATGCTGTATGTAAGTACGGTAGTTCAACCTATGTTCTTCAGTGTTTTAGGCTTGATTACTTTTCTATATATGCTTTATATACTTATATTTTATTTTACTTTATAAATTTAAATATTTTATAATACTTATAAGTATTATATACTTATTTATTTTATTGAATACATATTTTAATAATTTTCATTACATGAAATTATATCTATAGATTTCATTTTTATGCATTATTGATTATAAAATATTGTCACATATATAAAATACACTAGATTTTAATGGATAGCAAGAAACCAGGATCTTGGCAGGGGAAATACAGCTGGCCTGTGATATTCTTTTTGACCAGTAGTTTAAACCCTCAAATTCGTTTTATTTTGGGCCAAGAAATGTAGTAGTAGTAGCTACTTTCTTGAAGAAGCTCCTGGAAGTAAAATTCCTGGATAAAAAGTACAAATGGGGCTTTCACGGTGGCTGTCTCTGGCCAGTTGTGCGTGGGGACGTGGTGAGGTTCCAGTTCGGAAGCCAGCTCCGGCTGGCAGGACTGCCGTCCGTCTCAGCCTCGCTCTTGGCTGGGAAGCCATCGCTTTCTGACCTCACAGGACCAGGAGGAGGAATTTGGTTAGAATGGGAAATTTGCTGGTAGCACAGGCCTTTAATCCTGGCAAAGGCAGGCTGGTATCTGAGTTTGAGGCCTTTCTGGTCTACAGAGCGAGTTCCGGGATGACCAGGACGACACAGTGAAAACTTGTTTCAAAAAAACCAACCAACCCAACAGACCAGGAAATTGTACGTGTGAAGCCTGTTGAGAGGGATGCATGGGTTCTCGAGGGCAGTGTGTAGTGTGCTGTGTGCTGGTGTGTGGCTTCCAAATGGAAAGCCAGTTGTTAGCTGGTGATCATTTTATCAGTGCATGGAAGGCTATCCTGTTAAGTATATTACTTCCTAGTAATTCAGGGTAATTTCTAGAGAAAGAAAGGGCTCAGTTACAGCCAGTAAGTCTAAAATATGATGTCCGGCTGGCAAGGTGGTTCAGTGGTAAAGGCATGTTGGAAGGAAAGAACAGAGTCCCATGAGTTATTCTCTGACCTCCACCCATGTGTGTGTGTGTGTGTGTGTGTGTGTGTGTGTGTGTGTGTGTGTGTGTGTGTGTTTAAGAAAATTTAATTTTGATGTCTGATTCTAGACACATCTCTCTGTCTCATACACGGATGTGGAATGACCAAGAAAATATGCTAAACACAGCATATTTTGGAAGTAGCCAAGGCTTTCTCAGCTCTCAGTTTCAAAGCCATCACTGCCATTTAGAGTCTGACCTTGGGACCAGGAGAGATGGCTCAGAGGTTAAAAGCACTAGCTGCTCTTTCAGAGGTCCCGAGTTCAATTCCCAGCAACCACATGGTGGCTCACAACCATCTATAATGGGATCTAGTACCCTCTTCTGGTGTGCAGGTATATATGCAGAGCACTTATACATAAAATTAAATAAACAGAGTCTGACCTTGAGTAGGAAGTGTACCTTCACGTTGCCCGAGTCACACTGTCATAACCCTGAAACGAGGACAATGCCTCTTGTTGAGAGTGAGCATTTAACTGTAAGACTACACATGGTAAACTTTAGGATCGGTGTAAAGATAGCTCTCTCTGGGAATACTGGCTGTGAAAATACGATGCTGGACCAGGCTATCTGGTGGGCTAGGTATAAATGTTGAAAATGTTTGAGTTTTATAGTTTAAATTCATATCAGTGTCTGTTTAGCTTTTAAGTGGTCTGGGTTGTTTTTTGTTTGTTTGTTTCTTTGTAGTATCTGGTTCTTGACTGGCCTGGCTGAGAATAGTCTTTAATTATGAATGTAATATATGCTTCATGGCAGATGGTAAAAATACCCTCTCCAAACCATTGGCCTTGTTTAGTTTTGGTGTGGTTTGGTTTGAGACCCCCATCTCACTTTGTAACCTCATCTGACCGCGGATGACAGCTGCTTTTCCTACCACCTCAGCCTTCGGGGGCTGCCACGTCTGATGCATCTTGAGTTGGGGTGTTTGTAATAGATGAGTTGATTAGCTTCGGCTTTGATTTTCAGTTGCAAAGTGCCACTGTTTCTTCCCCAGCCTGTGTCCCTTTCTGAGGGCAGACTTGCGACCATGGTCGTGCTGCTCACAGCAGCTGCTGCTGCTGAACTCTGCTGGGCCCCTGTGATTAAAGCACCCAAAAAGCTCCGAGTGCAGCACTCACCAGCTTAGGAGAGAGCCAGAGTTTAACTGAGCTGTGTTATGAAAGGCTCTAATAATAGATAGAGCCTGCCACTTGAAGGAGATGCCACGGCCCACTGGTAGCGCGGCAGCTCCCTGGGAGGGAGGCCCTGCTGCCTGATGTCACGGTCGGCCCTCCAGCTCCATTTACATAAGGGATTTTGGCTCACACAGTTACATAAAGTGGGCTTTGCTCGGAGTCCCGAGTATTGAAAGTCTACCTGAAGACGAGGAGCATTAGTGTACCTGTTGAGACAGCTGTGAGTCCGTCAGACTCCAGGGAGAAGATGGACTAGAAACAGTTAGTTCATCAACACAGTGACGCTGAGCCTAGGTCTAAATATAGAGGCTTCTCCTCCACTCTGAGCTGGTCCCTCATTAGTTTATCTGATATAAAGAAAAAGCCCATTGGTAAACGTTTGCCCTTCTGAGGTTGGAAGGAGTACCCAGGAATTCTATGTCCAGAGCTGATTTTTAGTGCTCTCTACTAGTGTGGCCCTGCCAGTGACCATGAAATACACTGCCTTGCCCATTTCAAGTGATGCCAGCTGCCTCCATCATTCTGTCCTTAAAGGCTTGGAGATACACCTGAAGAGACCAAGGACTCCTGACTGACCCCGGCCTGGTGGTTGTTAAATACCGAGTTTGAGTTGGCCCTTGTGTGGGGCAGCAGCAGCCATACGGCACAGCACTGCGGAGCCCAGAGCACACATGGGTATTTGCTCCAGTTAACGCCGAGTGCAGGAGTGTGTTGTGGGATTTAAAAGGCCCGGTGTAGAGTGCCAGGACGCCAAGCCTGTCCGCTTGACTCCCACCCGACACCCTCCCTGCCATCCCTTCTCTAGCCTCATTGCTGCACCAGGGATACTACCCATTGTTTTCTCAAGTGTGTTCCCCCAGTCCTCAGCAGAGGTGTTGGCAGATGAAGAGCCCTTTCTTAAAAGGAGGTGAAACGAATCAGTGCTACGGTCTTATTCTGCTGCATTCTTACTGGGTGTGGGAGGCGAAGCTCTGTTTGGGGTTCCAGGCATTGGAGGAGGGAGTGATTATTTCTTGTCATTTGGAATTAAGGAACCTAGTTTTCTGATCATGGCAGCATGCTCCTTGAGAATCTGGGGTCTCCCAAGTGACCTTGGAGGAGTCACAGGGTCTTTCTGAGTTCTAGTACAGTTCTAGTAGCACTGTTTGGAGGCTTCGGTCTGTTTTGAGGTCTTGTGAGGGAGGCACCAGCCGTGGAATAAGTG